AAGCACAGCAGAACTGCCCGACTATTGTTATATGAGTTTGTGTAATTGATGCTTTGCAGTGACATCATGCTGGGGGTGTTCTACATGCATCTGTATTGGAGGAATGTTCAGCAGTTACAGTGGTGACACAATGCACACATTCACAAAAACAGCCAAAAAAGAGTGTTTGAAAATAGTTTGAATCAACACAAAATGGTTTTAAACAACACATTTTCAGGAGCCTGTGATCAATACAAGCGTTCATGGTCTAGTTTAGGGGTTTGATTATCAACAAAAATGGTGAGAGCAATTTACTCAAAAACTGTGTGAGAGACTTATTTAACAGCACAAATTATGTCATTTGTTGTAGTTCCAACTAAATCAACTCTTTCTGGTTAGACTGTGTTAAAATAAAGCTCAGATTAAGTCTAAGTAGAGTAACAGAGCTTGAGACAGAGTAGTGCTTTCAGTTAGCATCACACACCCAGGGAATGTTGATGACATCAGCTGCAAAGTATCAAAACCTCAATCATCCAGGAAGACTCATGGTAAACTTTCACCGTTAATCATTAAGACAAAAAACTGCCATGTGCCTGATCTCTAGTTTGAGTATAGTTGTAAACAGAAGGAATACAGATTAATAATAAAAAAGTGGATGAAGCTTCTCACACATAATTTCTCATACACTGAACTGAAGCTCCTTTGCCTGATTATACGTGGCCCAACTCCACAGAGGAACATGCATCTCCTCCACGTCCACTTCAAATCCATGACCTCCACAGAGGGCCAACACAAACAGAGGTAAACAACCACAGGCACATCGTGTGTAATTGAGTTTCCTGACAAGCCGACGACACAGAGGCAGGACACAAAGTGGGCATCTTCAGCCATAATGAAACAAAATGACAGACAGAGAGAGGGAGATGTAGCTTTCTCTGGGCAAAATCACCCCTAATAAGACAGTCCTTAGTCTATATATAGAAGAGAAGTGTGTGTTTCAGATGAACGCTATTTACAAACATGACAGCGCCTCCTGCTCGTATGGAGAGCATGGTAACAATGCTGTGAAGCATGTAGTCTCTGTTCCCAAAGGCTTAAAGTAGCTACAGCACGACGCACACGTACATCTCTGCGACAAAACGTGTGAAGAGCCCACTCACCACATGCTTGAACACACACATAACTGTCCTATCTGTGAGGTTACTCTATAAATGGGACTCCTACAGAACTTCTGGTTGTATTATTAGATGTCAGTGATGACATTTAAATCAGTCAATATAGATGACAAAACCTAAACATCTGACCCCAAGAAAATAGTGCTATTACCTTCTTGTAGGGGAAAGGGATTTAACAAATTTCATGTAAACTGAGCACTATTTCTACTGCTACCATTGAAGGCACGCTATACAACTGTTCTGGTGCTAATGGCACCACCAGGCCGAGTTACAGGTTAGATCTAACTCATACTAAGAATGCATGTTTTCAAACCAAAGATGTTCATTTTGTCTTCTTGTGTACTCTAGGGTTCTTTTTAAAAGACTGTACAGTAAAGTGTATTTACCTTGTTGACATGTTTCGACTGCAAGCTGCAAGCCATCTTGAGAACTGTCAAGTTGTGTCATGGTGATGTGTCATCAGAACACAAAAAGGCAATGCAGAACAGGAAAACCTAAAATCTGCCATATCAGACCAGTGTAAAAGAAATAACCACATTATGGATTGGGAAGGGGCGTCGGTCATTAGATCGGAATACAAATGCTGGATCAGGGAGGCCACTGAAATCAGGAAATGAGGCACAGATAGCATTAACTGTGATAAAGGAGTGTTCCTCTTTTCACACACTTGGGACACCCTCCTCCAGAGAACATCAGGCAACATAAGGCATGGTCAGTCTGAGCAGCATGCCAGGTCCATCAGGGTGACCACGCCTACAGGAAGTAACAACAGGTATTATACGACACGTCACCACCAGCACTAGTGACAGTTCTGAAGATGGATCGCAGCTAGCAGCTGAAACATGTCAACAAGGAAAATACACTTTACTGTATTGTCTTTAAACCCAAGAACCCAAGAAGTTAAAGCATGTTTTCAAAGTATTTTTGAGCAATTGAAACATATGTAATAAAATAAATATGTTTAAAATTCCAGGCAAACCGATAACATCTCTATGAGGACAAAGAGGTGACAGACACTCACCTAGAAAAAGTACATAAAGTAGCTTTAACATAGTGCTGTTATTTCTACTGGATTATTTGTGTTTTTTTGTTTGTTTGTTTTTTTTACTTCATTAAGATAAAGAACAAGAAAAAAGTGCAAATACTACCATGGTTTCTTGAATTTCCATCGGGATCAGTAAAGTATCTTTCTCTCTGGTTTCATCTCCTTTTATATGTTCATGAAATTTATTTTTTTTAAAACACACTTTCACCACTATTTTTCATCTAATTAATCCACTTGGACTCCTAGTCTCTCTTTTGGAGCATATTACAATTTCAGCCACTTCTATACAAATCCTACAGCTGCTACTTGCGACGACAACCTCTCTTCTCTCTGTCATCTAGGTCGTTTTCACACATGACATCAAAATATATACCTCTAATACCACCAGTCATGTCATACATACATTACAATATATCAGTCTCCAAATAACAGCTTCAATGTGTGATGGCACCGTCTTTGAAATTCCACTCTGTCGGCTTTGTCCGGACACACTTAAGCCTGTGTTTTCGACAACACTGTGGATTCCCCTGCCAGCTAGACTCTAATATGCTGAGCCCATCATAGGATCACAGTAAACAGATGGCATGGTCCAGATAGTGGTTGTGACAAATAGAAAAGACCAGCTGCCACTTCCTTCTCCTTTGGGCACCAGTTATCACAGAGAACAAGATGACAAGGCACTGGCGATGACAACACCAACCTGGGATATAAACCGCGTGAGTCACAGGCAGAGGAAGGTCGGATACGCTCCTCTTGATGTTGGCTGTGTCTGTCCACCTGAGAAAAGAGAGCACCTTTTGATCTTACTCTGTTTATTTTTTATCATAACCTCAAGACGTACCAGATTTCTCATGGCGACTCGCATTTCTCTCTGTTTTTGACAGTAGGACTTCCATGATTCCTCAGTGAAGCTATAGTTGAAGTAATCTGTAATGTCTGCACCTATGGAGGTAGAAAGGATTAGAGAGGTGTGTCAAATTTTCTACCAGGGTGTTTATAATGTACAGAATCCTATAGAAGATTACTGTCATGTTCAGAGGCGCTGACAGAAGCAAGTGCAGGGATATGAATGTGAAAGGCCTCTAACGTAGTGTGGCATAGTGTTGTCACTATACTAAATTTTCAAACTTGATTTTGATACTAAGGAATAGACTTCATACTCAGTAAAAAGCACTCTTTCTTTCTATATAATAAAAAGGATTAAATAATAGTACTTTTTATATTACCATGCAATCCCTCAGTCATCTAGATATGTTCCATAGTGCTGCGGCATATACTAGTCTGGGCTTCTGGAGGTATACTAGTCTAAGTCTTATACTTGCTCTGATACAGCTCAAGATCACTCTAAAGCGATTCAGGAAAGGCTCTAATGAGTATCTTTTCTTGATACTCATTTTAGTATTGATTAGTATATGATTTTCTATACTGCTGACAACCCAAGTGTGAAAAACTACATGGCATATGCCACATAAAAGGTTGAAATTGCAAACCAAATACAATATGTTTTTGTTGTATGTCTGACAATGCTCAGCAAGCTTTTTGTAGTCCTGCTCTAGCTGTCAGGCTTTCCAAACGTGTAATGTATTGTTGGATTTGCCTCATGTTGACCTTCTTTGTACATAGATCTTACCAGGGTTTCTCCATGGTTTTTGATTTTGAGATCCTCCTCTGTTTTTCTGCTTTCTTTCCGCTCTTTTGTCCGTTTTCAGTCGAGATGGAGTTTCTTTGTCTCTTTCCTGGCCACACCCGTCAGCCAAGTCATCCATGTCACGTTTCACAGCTGTTAACACAAAATGCAATTTATCACCTCACATAATTTAATTATGAAAGCAACAATGTTTGTGTGCATTCTGCTACAAATAATAAGTCATTAATCACAATTAAGCTGCAGTGGTAGCTACATGGTTGACCTGTTGTAAGAAAAAGAAGTATGCTGTTTTTCTAGCTGTATTCTTGTTCTTGTATCAATTTTTAGAGAATCACTTTCATGTCACATCTGGGAATAAATGAACAACAAACGGTGACAACACAATTCCCATTTGTGCCAATACCAGGCTCATACATCACCAAGCACTGAAAAACACATCAAAGCTAAGATACGAGCAGTGCCAAAGAACTGTGCACATTTATATTTTGGCCAAAAGGCAAGTATTGAGAGACTAAAAGTGAACATTTGAAGAAATTTGTTTCACAAATTTTGTTCAGTTGGCTTCAGGACTGGAAAATCAGATCTAACTGTGATCTCATTTGTTTTGCTTGCCGAATTATTTAGGGTATAAAAAAACTGAAAGCACAGATATAGCTTACAAATTGTAATTTAAGTGCCACACAAGCGCATGGATGGATCATGTGATCATGATTGACAGACGATTACTAGCAGTGCACGATGCAAAACACTCACATTGTTGGAAATATAATTTTGGGATTTAGCTTAAAGACCTTTGCCTTACTAACTGATTAAAAATATATCTCTGCAAAACTGTAAACAATTATCTAAAAAGTAACGTTCACTTAAAGCCTACTGACTCCTCATTAACGATAACTGGCATGAGGCCATGCCTGTCACTTTTTTTTTTAACGGTTTAACTTTACACTTATCATCTGCAAATAATACTAACATTGTTTTTATCACATACAGATAAGATTCAGTATTGAACATTTACCTTTATACCTCCTGTAAATTAGTTAAACGTTTTCGTCGGGTCTTCTACTCATAAACACGGTCTACGCTTCTAGTCTGGATGCTGCTGTCATAGCAACGAGTGACGTGTTTACCCCGCGACATGCTGCTGCCACGTCACCTTTGCGAGACTCGTGTTTGTTTTGCTGAACTCTCATGACATTTCTCTTATATAGTTGATCCAGTCGCTATCAGGAAATTGGTAAAACAGTCAAAATGCTTACAGTGGAGGATTACACGCAATTTCCGCTGCAAACGTGGGGAAAGGTCTTCTCGAAGGTAAAGAAAGCGGTTGTTTTCATGGATGACAAGTGTGCAGAGGCTCTCCATTGGAGCGGTGGTGCTGCATCATTATTCGAGGCTGGAGCAAAAAATCTAAAACAGTTTTCAAGCTTCGAAGCGTGCCGTGCCGATGAACCAAAAGCTGTCTTTGTTGTGAGCACGTTGCTAAAGGGCAGAACAGTAGACATCATTAAGGATATCATATCTCTGAGCCGCTTTCAATACTGTGTTGTGATCACTACAGTAGCTCACTCCGTGCACCTGGTCGCCAACAATGTCACTGCAGAAATGGACGGGAATCCTGTGTTTGAGCAGTTTGAGGAAAAGCTGTGTGAGTGGATGGGGAACATGAACTACACAGCTGAAGTAATGCACATTCCTGTTGTGTTTGCACCCGTCTCACAGCAGCTAATCCTCACTCCTCCGTTTGCACACTTGTTCCCTCTCCTATCCCCTGATCTGGACTTTATTAATGCAAAACGCCCAGAGAAGAAGAGATTTGGGAGCTTAGTTGATGTAGATATGAACTCCCTCCCAGCTGAACTGCAAATTGAAATAAAACATCTGTCCTCAGCCCTGAATTCAATGTTTGAAACAACAGAAACAAGAGAAGAGAGTTTTGCAGTAGGTCCTATGAGCCGTATTATTGCAGGAGAGCTGGCCAATCATCCACAAGCCAAAAACAGGAGGAAGACAGCTCAGAATAAAGCATCAATCATATTTATTGACAGGACAATGGACCTGACAGGTAACTTTCAATATTTTTTTGTAATTTTGAGTTGCAAATGATTATTTAGAAAATATGCATTAATAACACATCTGTTGTTATAATTAGGAGCTGTTGGTCATCATGGTGACAATCTGGTGGAGAAGATTCTGACTGTACTGAAGCCTTTACCTGGTCATGTGACTGACGTGCAAGTGGACATGTTGGAACTAACAACTCTACAGCGCAGCCCACAGACCGAGAACATCCTGGCGCCTGGCTGTTTAGCACAATCAGAGTAAGTACATGGTACATGTGCAGCGTAATTCATGATTATAAATCGACTCAAGTCTCTACTCTATTGTTTGGCTATGAAATGGTTTGGTTGTTTATTGTACAAAAGTGCCAGACAGGGGAAAGCGTTTAATTATACATTCATAGTAGAAAACATTTTCTACAGCAAAAATGTGTTGTTGCTGTCCACAGTGAATTCATGACTTGACAAATGATGGACTTAACAAAAGAATAAGATAATACATTATTCACGGCTGAGAGTGGATCATGAATAATAATCTAGCATTGAAAACCCTGAAAAACTGAAAAAGATAATCCAGTTCATGATTATTATTCACAGAAAGCATATTTATTAAGTTTTCATAATTAAATTGCTTGACGTAACAAATTAAGCAAGTCCTTTCTGTTTATGGCTGTAAGAAAAAAGATTACTGTAAATGCTTCATACTTCTGCACTTTTTTGGACCAATAAGTTTTGGATTTGGGGAGACTCCACAAGGATATCCAATAATTCACAACAATGTCTTCTGTTTACAAGGCGTTTGTCTAAATCCTGTACCCAAATACAATCGCTACAGATGTTGTAGCAAACAACAGATGCAGGAATTGGATATCTGCTAGCTGTGGGCGGGATCATATAATTAGTATCTGTAAATTTCTAGATTTATTGGGCAGATATTTTATTTTCAGAAATGAAAACATCTGTAATTAAAAAAAGGCAAGAGTGATATGTATCATGTTATATAGTAAAAGTAAGTCCAGGTAAAGTAATAACATCTCCAAGACAAAAGCTTTGCAGACCCCCTGCTATAAAAATGACATATTGCACCTTTAAGTGTTAAAATTACCTGTACTATGTTGCAGTGACGTTTGTTCTGTTCAAGTATATATCTTGTATATTTAAGTGGTTAAATACAGTATAACTTGGTGTCCCTGTATGTCACATGTTCCACTCCTGCTTACACTGTTTGTGTGGTAAAAAGAGGAAAGCCTTTGAGTGAGAAGAAGAGTTTTGTGGCTCTCCTGCTGTATGTTTAACCACTGTGACACAGTAAACGTGTGGGAGGTCAGCTGTGATGGAAGTGTTTGGCTTCTTCGGGTCACTGCTGTTTACACTTGTGTGGTGCAGCTGACATCTGCAGCACAGGGGCAGGCTGCACTGACCAATAATGAGGAGTACATATCTAAGTCAACAGATTATAAAGTACCGTATTGCATTTATTTCTTTGTAGTTTCACCTAAAGATTTACCAGTTTATGAAATTGTGCACATCCTACAGATTTCTCAAAAGATAACTATTGGTCAGGTAAACACTGTGAGACGTCTTTATTAAAGATTACATTGTATTTAGAGTCTAATTTACTATTTTGTTTGCATTAAACATAACAGTCAAGAATATATGGACTGAAGTGCTCATTGTAATTGATGCATTTTATAAGGGACTTGTGCCTCTGCTGAGCTCTGGTTTAACGCCGACATTATTATTGTAGCTAAAAATATTTGCTAATATGGTTCTCATGTTGCGCCTGGGATGACAGGTTGAGATATTAGTGTAATGATTATTCTCTGTGTTGGAGGAAGCAGAGGTGGAGGCGCTGCTCAGAGGTTAGAGGTCACCCTGAGGTGGGTGTGTTTACAGCCAGCACTAGTCTGATGGGACTGTTCTGAGAAGCAGGAGCAGTAAAGCCTGCTCTGTCTCAGGGCACGTGGCCTAGTTCAGCTGCATTATGAAATGATGAGAGAGAAGAGACTTCCCACTTGATTTATACTTGATTTAATTGCCTTGAAGCACACACCTCACCACAAGCTGTGTTATACTCTAATGGGCTGACTCTTGTTTACAGAAATGTCTTCATAATTCCGCTCTGTTCTTAATTGCATTGGCCCATTTCTGTCCCACTTATCTTAATACCACGCATTTGTTGAAACACCTTGATTACAAAACAAATTTTTCTTTTTTGTATAGGCAGCCTTAGTTGATCTATTTCTTGCTTCTAATCATGCCACAATATGCAAAACATGCATTTATTTATATCTTAAACTGCATTAGGACTCTCACAATAGAAATACTTGAATAATTTAAGCAGGGATTAATGTAACTGTTATATTGTAAATATGTTGTATAATGTACCAGAGATGAACCATGCAAAGAACTGGACTTGCCCGGCTCCTGAGGTTTAATTGTCTGTGTAATCTGCCCATGTCTCTCGGATGTTTATACACCTATGATTTAGACAGATATTTTTAGCCTGAACCCACTGTGTGTTTTCATTGGCTCTTTTGTGTAGTCCAGGGCAAACCTTTAAATATTAGGTGGGGACCTAATTCCAACCTTTTTGTATGAAATTTTCCTCTGTAATTCCAGGATATTTTTACAGATTACTGTGTCTTAAACATTCTGTGGGTGGCTGTTGATTCTAGCTCTATGGGCGAGACCCCACACTTACCTCACAATTACAGTATAATTTTTCTTAACCTGACATAAAACCTGCAAACCGTGGTACTTAATAACCAAGTCATGAATACAATATTGTACTGCAATGTAACAAAATTACATTGTAATTATTCATGATCTAATAAAATTATCTCCAACAAAAAGTAGGTGGTCCTTATTAATTCGTAACTAATAAAAACTGGTGTACCATGGCAATGCATCAACTTTGGGCTTGTAAATTGGTATCTTAGTTGTGCTTGTGCAGCTCTATATTTTACATTAATCACCTGCAAAAATATATATGAATTAATTTATCTGTATATATGTATTTTGTATAAACAATATTTTATGAGAATTGGTGATCATCATTACATTTTCTTCATGGGATTGATGTGTAGGCTTATAAACTTGCTTCCAGCTGCAGTTTCCCATTCTTGCAGTTTTTGCAGCCATTATGCAGTAGTTTACAGTCTTTGGTCTCAGCTGAGTGAAAGTGGCAGAGTTGTTATGTGTGTCTTTGTGGTCAGGTGCCTTCCAGTTTGCAGTAATTTGCTGTGCTTGGCTGGGCGGCCCCTTTTGATCCAGCCGCGAGACACATGAACCCCATTGGCAAAGGGCAGTGAGTTTCTATGCGTACCACCAGTGATTTTGGCCGCGTTGGACCTTGATGTTGTGGTAGAGGGAGTGCGTGTGGGCAGGAGTGCGCGCGGGTGGCCAAGGTGCTCTGGTACCGACACAACCGCACCCAGCCATAAGCAAAACACAGTGAGGCTGCCTTCTCTCTCCAATCCACCACTCCACCACTACTGTGCAGGAAAAACACCTATTTCTGTCCTGGCTGCATGGGAAAGTGAGCAGGAATGAAAAGTTATGTTAAAGCTGAGTGTTTAATACTAGGGGTGCAAGATTAATCAAACTGAAATTTTTATAGACAAAATTTGGAAAATGCAAATACAGCTGTTTTTTTAAGTACCATAATTTCCTCCACAAACAACAAAATAGCCTGTCTTATTCTGCATAAAAACTGCTAACCCTGTACTTTAGTTTAGTCCAAATATGATCTGAAATGTGATTCTTGTCTTTTTGTCAATCCTCCTGGCTGCGAATAGAATCATATTAAAACATAAATGATGACCAATGACCATTTTTGTCCTGATTTAGACTTGGTTTGGTCCTGATCTAGTCTAGGTTTAGTCCCATTTTTGAGTTTGTGTGTGCACATGTGAATGCACCCTGCTCTTCAGTGGAAATAACAAGTTGGGTAAGATACTTCTCATTGGAACTGAATAGTCTGCAACAGTTTCTCAACAGAATAGCAATACAATGTGCCATCAACTTGAAGTGTATTCCAAGCCCTGTGCTGGTTTTGGCGTGTCCATATTTAGATTAGTGTCTTATCATTTGTGTGAGCCTTTTGAGTTTTATAGGAATTGACAAAGGGAAAGACATGTTATAGTCATGTGGAGAGTTAATGACAGACAGCTGAGGACAGTGAGCCCAGTCTTTAGCCACATCCATTTCTCAGCGGGTGAATATAGGAAAGAGATTGTTTTGTCATTCTATACTTAGACAATCAGGAGCTGGAGTCAGTTTCATGTTATTATGAGCAACGCGGGCACAGCTAAATGGATGGAGAGGGTTTGAAATCATGTATGCAGCACACAAGCATGTCAGGGCATGGGCAGCTTGGGTTTCACTGTCTGTATAATGTCAAAACAGAGCATACAATTAGTCTCCCAATAGAATGATTGTGGTCAGACCCATCAGCATAATATATACTTGTTAAACTAGTGTTATTATTAAACTGTGTTGTATGTTACTATGTATGTATAATGGTTATGAAAATGCAATATTTTCATTGGCTTCATCCAGTCAGAGTGGTTAGTAGGGGTTACTAGGGCTGGGCCATGCTGTTCTGTTCATGGTTTACCAATATATTTTTGGGGGTGAAGTGAAATTTGAATATCGTGGCATAATTTTGTACCCTAAACTGCTAACAGTTTTAACACCATTTGTGGATGTTCTGTAGATCCTAAAAAGTATAATAATGACAGTGGAAGCAGAACGTCAAACCTAATCTACATTTATAATAGCTTAAGTTAGCTATAAAATGTAAAAAAGCAGAGTTTAGAAGTATTTTGACTAGCTATATTATCAGTTGTCTTGTTAGCGCATATAATCTTTTACTTATCAATTTTGATATCAATTTTAGATCATATTGCCCGCCAAAATCAGGATCATGTCAGGATTCATGCTTTGTTACCATTCCATGATTTATAAATACCCAATACGCTGAATGTTACCATGTTTTTGTCATCACTGCATGATATTTAGCGTAACAATGGAGGAATGCACATCTTATTTCAGTAAATTAAATTTAAATATTTTTTGTATTTCTTACTAAACCAGGCAGTGCTTGGAAAACCATTTGCCCCAAAGATGTGTGTGCTTTGTTGATAAGAAATGCAAACCAATGGAAAAACAGCAAAGGTCAGCCATGTTTGACCTGTTGGCTGACTCCTGTCAGTAAGTCATACATGCTTGCTGATAAAACGCTGTAGACACATAAT